GGGGGGTTTCACACCTTCCTCATGTCATCCTGTATCATTGTGTTCAGGTTGGTGCTAATTGATCAAAAAATGTGGAAACGTGTAAGGAACAGATGGCTGTAAGGTGTGAACAAACAGACACAAATTTGCTTTATATAATAATATAAATAGGTAATATTTATAGGTAATAATATATAATTTCTTACAACTTAAATCTTTCCACTGAATTCAAATTTGAAAAACAAAAAGTGGTTAAGACATATAATTAATCTTACAATAATTTTTTTCTCCACACACACGTGGTTGTCCAGCTTTTTAGTGTTTGCTCTAAGAATGTGATATGAAATATCACATGAGATTATTTTTCAAACACAAGATTCTAGCAGGTCACTTCCATCTTTTTACATTCACAATCACTTACAAATATAATTTTTCTTATATTCTGATGTTCATAAAGCTTTTTGCTGAAAAACAGAAATCACCAGTCTGGCTGGAATACAAAAACTAAAAGGTATGTTAAAATGTCATTTATAAAAAAGTCTTTGATTTCTAATTAACGTTGGAAAACAACATTCTAAAACTAGCAAGACTTGTAGATCATAGTATATAAAAAGGCTGATGATGTTTTAAAAACTTTTGTGGAAGGCTCATTTTTAGAGTTTGGTTTAAATAAAATTACTTGTAATTTTCAACACTTTTATAAAATAATTTCTAAACACATTTTGGTACTTAAAAAATATAGATTTATGCTTCTTGTAAATGTCTCAAAATTTAACAGTCGAACCATCAAATAAATCATTACACTGAGATTACCCAATATGCAACAGCATGATAATACCATAAAGCTCATACACCCAAATTTTTATATCTAGATGCAAAAACTAATAAAAATAAAAGAAAGAAGTTCAAATATGTGTAATAATTTACATAAAACCACCATACAGCTGTCAATGTTGTAACTCTTAAAAATGTATATAGTAAAAAAATACAAAACATCTGTAAGCAAGTATTTTATAATAGAATATCAATAAAATTAACATCCAACTGACCTCTTCAATAACTCTGTTTAATTTCTGTTCTTTTTCTGTTTTTATTTCTTCAGATGTTTTACCCCACAGAGTTCCAATACTGTAGCCTTGTGGCCCCGTAAGTAACTACAGTGTTGTTAAGAAAAGTCATACTGTAATTTCATGCAGCAAAACACCCTGCAATTTCAGTTTACTGTAAAGAACTAATTATACAGTTTCAAATTTAGTAATATTATGGAAGCTGTGAATATATCATATTATCAATCATACTAAAATAGAGTAAAAGTTTCTATTCATAATCATAAATATTGTTTAAAACTCATGCATAATACATAAACAAACACTTCTAACATCAGAGAAAGAAATAAGAACAGGAACCATTACAGAGTTAAGGGAAATTTCTTACTCATCAAGAATGGAAGATGACAGAATTAATGGCAGAAATTACAGCAAGAATTATGACATTAAAAAAAAAAAAAAAGAGCTTACTCACACATTTGTGCTTGTTTTTACAGTGTCAGGAAGCTTGTATTAACTTTATAGTAGTTCCAGTTCTTGTTTCTGTTTTGAGCTTTCATGCCTAGTGATATTCAAATTTTTGATCTTTCACACTTAATCATGACACTAAGATGGGTCAAAAGCTTAACTGAAGGTGCCTGGAAGTTTTTATTAACTACATGTGCGAGTTCTTGTAACAGATTATACAGTTATCATAATTATTATTTCTTTTTATAAACACTGAGTAGAAGTTAAAAAATAAATCACTTTAAACTCTTTCAACAGGGTGATTGTTTTTAATGTGCTTGCTACACTTCCTGAAGTTTTACAGAAGTTATTAATAAACACTGAGAACCAAGCCAGGGTTTGCTACTTCCTTTGGATGATTGTTTATTTTCATAAGCATTAACCTGAACTCAATACATAACCAAAACCTCCTAAACACTCTGGAAACACACTATAAACCACATTAAAGACTGTACTATGTGTATTTACTTGCTCTCTCTCCTGTCTCCTTTTCTGCAGATCTTCCAGAGTCAACTCATATTCTATCTGCAGGGCATCTCGTCGCTTTTAAAGCCTCCTGAAAAAAAAGTTTTTATCAAATACTATGACATATTTTATCTAAAAAACAGTAGGTAAAGACCTTACATTTGAGAAAAATTTATTGTAGACCAACCTAATTAACCATCACTCTTTATTACATGGAAAATTAAATTATTAACTTCTTAAAAATCAGATGTTATTCACCAGGACTTTTAATGAATACAAAAGCAAATGTTAACAAAATTGGGGCAAATATTATATTTGAATTTTGTGTTCAAATTCTAATAAAACATAAATATATATTTTTTAAATTTGTAAACTAATAGTCTGATTTTTGAGGAACTTGTTTATTGATTTTGTTGAAGGGAGAGTACTTACACCTGAACACCAACAATACTTCAACTTTGCATTAAGTACTTGGTTTTATCTGCAGAACATTTATAAGAAATTGTCTTTCATCTTATTTGGACTTTTGTATCCTATCTTAAAATATTACTGACTTCACTCAGCACCAGACTGCACCTTTCAACAGAATAACTCAAAAGAAGTTTTACAAATACCTTTTGAATGGCTCAGAATCAGTGAATCACACCTTTTATTATATGTATTTCAATGTTTTTAAAAAGCATTTTAAAATAAAAATTAGCTTAGTTCACCAAGTGATAAACAATCTACATTATTTGTAAGTAGATGGAAAACAAACCTATAACACCTTGTTTATATAAGATGTCCTTTTATGTAGCTTTTTTATAAATGAAATAATTCCTGTCATTTCAAATAATCAAAAATCGATTATTTCGATTTTTTTGGTGGTTACGAGGTCGGTCGAATTGACCAATCCCATTTTGAGATAGGGTAGAGAAAATAACATATTAACTATAAGGATTTTTTGATAAAATAACATTATCTATAAGGATTTTGTGAGAAAAAAAAAACGTTTTAAATGCATTTAAGAGGTTTTAGGGATTACACAAAGGAAATTTGATATTTTTGAGATGAAGAAAAGTATTTTTAATTTGAACATGAAAATTACTTTGGACACTGACTATTCAAAACAAATACTCAATGTATTCATGGACAAATCTTTATTTTATTAAAAATATGATTTTTTGTATGTGAAAGACTTGTAATATTAACTGAAAGACTGCCAAATTTTGTGATGATATACCCAATATATTGAGAGTTATAATTATAAAATTTATATCAAATTTAAACGAGTACAAAAGGTCACGTGACTTAATCAAATTGACTGACCCCATTTTGAAAGAGATACACCAGGTCTATAACTAGTTTCTGTCATAACATAAAGGCTGTCATCAAAATAGAATTTTGTGACACACTGTGATTCTAGTTTAATATTTTCAGATTTATGATGTTAGAATTTACAAGATAGATGTATCCAATATGTTGTTTTATCTCATTATATCAGACATATCATGAATATGAATTATACAAATATTCTATACCCTCTTCACTTACTTTTTCACATATTAACCATCATCTTTGTACAAGTCAAAAGCTGCAAATATAGGATATTAATGAAACAAGCGAGGCATTTTTGTGCAAAAATTTCAGTAAATTTTGAATAAACAACAGAAGAGCCATGTGGTAAATCAAATAATGAAGTCTCAACTTATAAGTTTTCAGAAAATAATGACAGGTGAAAATAATCATTGCTCTAAAGGAAAATATAATAAGTAGCAGTATGCAAAGATTAAGGTCAAAATTCCATTTACTGAGTGGACACCGATGTGAACCACCTACACTGAATTTAAACTAGTAGCAGCAAGGCTACTTTCTGATTTAAATCCTAAACCACTGGGTCCCCTAAGAGCGAGTTATGTGTAGTTTGTGTAAGTGTGAGGTATTTCACATCAAAATATGGTGGCTTTGTTATAAACAGAAAGTCATAATATTATTAGTAATCATTCACAAGCAAATATAAAATAGCTTTTTTATAATATAATTATTATTTGTAATAAACCTACCAAGTTTCAATTTGAAATACTTTACCACATAGTTCTATTATTGCTTGTTTTGAAGTTACAGGTATTTTTAATAAATAATAATTTCTAATAAACTTCTTGTATTTGTTATATGGCTAAACCTCTTATTTAAAATATGAAAAACATTTGATAAAAATATAGCTGAGACAAGGTGCTTGCGAATAATGACAAGTACCATTATGTAAATCTACTAAAAAGGAAGATCCATAGTTAGTCAATAATAAAAATAATTGTGCTTTGTGTTACATTGTAATATCAGTTCATTCAGATTCTTTGAAAAAAATTTTACTGTACTCACTTTTACAGCTTCTGTGTATAGTATGTTTTCATGAAGAGGCTGGGCAAACTCCAGATCATAAGCATTTGTCTTGTGGTGAAAAAAAAAAAAGAGCCAAAATAAACAATCAAATGAAACAATAATTATATGCTAACTTACAGTCAACAATCTTAAGATTAAACAAAACATTCAATTCTTAAAGTTTAATAACACATGTACAAGTTTCACTACAAATTGTTTGATATGAGCACCACAAATCAGCCTGCTCTCCTTTTAAAAGTAATATTAATCTTTTATACATTGCTCAGCATAGACAGTAAGCTAGATTTCTTTTCCTATGAATTGTGATAAAGTTAACTCTTATTTCTTTCTCATGTGAATTGTCATATTTACTTTTCCCAGTTCAACTTTTTAGAACAATTTACTCTTAACCCACTCCTATTTTGTGTGAAAATTACTGCTACTTTTTTATATTATTTACATTACCTGAAGACACTAAGGTTATCCTTATGTTTTTTCTCTCTAATGCTTATTATTCATATCTTCTCAAAAATATTCTAAAAGTATTGAGGCAACAATATTTTTCTTGAAATATATCCAACAGTGATAAGACTTCTATGCCTTACTGCTCTGTCACTCGTGAACTTTCAGATTTTCTCTCATCTCTCTTCTTTACATGGGAAGTTACTTTCATCACAATGACATGTGAAAATGAAGGCTACCTAATTAACAGCATAGTAAAATACTGTGCAGTTTATGCTTATTAAGGATCTGCACATAAAAAAATTACAAAGAAAGCTTTCTAACAACATAAATAACAAAATATTTAACCTCTCCACATGTTTCAAAGGTTATGTCATTGCATTTGTTGACTCGCATTCAAAATTTTATTGAACTACTATTATATGAATTTATGTCAATAAGTGTCATGTCAAATTGTAGATTATAATTCAAATTTTAGTATTATACATTTTTTTAATCACATGTCATGGACAGAAGTAATTGTATATGAGGAAGTATTTCCAAAAAAGGAAAGATGTGGGTGGTGCCACTGTGTTTGATTTGGTACATGAGCAATATCTCGGCAAATAGAAAAAATAGAAGGTCCTTATTTTATATTCTAGCTTGTCAATATTGGTAATTTAAGTTCCTAATTTGTAAGAAACTATCGACTTTTTATTTGGACGTCAAAAACATCTAATTTGCACTGGTACTGCATCACAACATACCATGTGACACACAAATCAATGTTCAGGTGTGTTTTTTTAATATTTACTTTTAAATTAAGAAATTCTAATCAAAAGTTCAGAATGTCCCCCTAGTGGCTTTCTCAGCCATTTTCAAGTATTATGACATCAACTTGTTCTTTCAATACAAGGCTTCAAGTTGGTAAGTTGAGTCTTTAGTCTGCTCAATTTTCATATTTTTTTAGACTAAAATACAGCTTAGTTACTAAGCTTGATAAATTATAATGGAATTCTATGGTATCGGTATAGTAATTTATGACTTTCTGGTTATTTCAAATGTATATATAAAACCTAAAAACAATTATTTTGTTTCACATCCTCCATGTGCAAAACTCTATAAGGCTTAGCAACCTACGGCAAGCAGCAAACAAGTACAAAGGTCAAGATATAATTGTTTGCTATTCTTATTTATTTATTTACTGTTCTATGTTTTAAGAAAAATAAGTTTAAGAAGTTATTTGTAAATAGTAATAACATATATACACATATAGTGTGTTATAACTTAAGTGACTCTGTTACAAAAACACTAGTCCACTAAAACACAGCCAAGACATGTCACTTTGTAAAGGTCAGTTTTATATTATTGGATACAGTAATATGAGTGCACATGCACCGCGTCATTGTAACATCTGTGATGTTAGCCAGGCATGGCTGAAAGTTCAATATAATAAAAATAATAAATATATATAAATGTACAATGTAATGACATTTAAGCTATTCAATCTAAACATTTATGTTTCTCTGTTATAATTTGTCATCATTCTAGAATAAAAAAAAGCATAATTTATATTTATTTCCTAATTCTTTATGGTGGTTATGAGATCGGTCAAATCTACTGAACCCACACAGAGATTTGATAGTGAAAATAACAGATAAAATATAAAGTGTTTTCTTAAAAAACACCATTACCTAATATCTGTTTTTTTATACATATTTTATCTCAAAGATTTCATACTCCACATAACCAATTTTAAATCCTCTGATCAGGATAGAATCATGAAATTTGGGATATGGTCTGGAGTTGTCCTGAACTTTGTGGTTCCAAAATAGTAAAGATTTTGTTTAAACCTTGCTTTGTCATTTTATACTTTATCTGAATTATGATGTTGCAGTATAATAAGTAAAATAATATATTTCATGAAATAATATGAGGTAGGCTAAGATAGATCATTTTGCAATTGATCATATCAAGTTTTGTTTTGTGACAAGGCTGCTGTTTGTTAGGCTTTGTTTATATTAGGCCTCATCAGCCTAAGTAGCTGCTTGAATGGACAAAGACAATCACCATAAAGGAATGTAAAAAATGTATATAAATAAACAAATATAAAATGCATTTAAAACTTATTAAATATACTAAATGAAAAATCTTATAATTAAAGTTTAACAAAAATTGCTTGCTTATAATTTTGGTATGGTAAAAAGTTATTTTTATTGTATGCCAGTAAGTGTAAACATAGTGAATGTGTGTGTGGTGTTTATAGGTCAAAACATATATAATATCTACAATTTTATAGAGTAAAAACTTTAATCGAATCTGTAGAAGGACATGAAAATTTGAAAGTTGTACAGCAAAAGCAAAAATTTCCAACTGTTTTTTAAAATCACTTGACTTTTCAAAGTTGCAAATTGATACAAATATAAAAGTAAGATATTTTAGTTTGCAGAAGCTACATAATCTTAAGAAATTTCACCTACTGTTTCAAATTGACACACCAGTGTTAAAAACTTTTCCTGGAAGACAATCTCTAAGCTATATACATCTTATTTATTTTTTCAATTATACACTTTTTCTAAAGAAATGAGATACACATTTTCCCAGCACTGTGGTAGATCAGGATTATGTATGTATTTTATTTATATACAATTGCAAAATTAAAATTTAATCTGTAACAGTCTAAAATGAGCATGATCCTACAGCCAGGGTTCAACAACAACAAACAATATATTCAACAACAACAACACTTACCAAAACATAGTTAATAAACAAGTGCCTGGCCAGGACTGGTGTCAGTTTCCTCATACACACATATTTATTCAAAATACAAATGATTAGCTGGATGGTAAGTTAGCATTTATTGCAACTAAAAATTCATAGATAAATTAAATGATAGAAGGAAATAATAAATGAACAATAAACACAACCATAATCATAAAAAAAAAATAATTTTTCATCTCACAAATCCACACTGATAAGGATGATGTCTTCATGTACTACAAAAATATATTGTACTTACTACTCTTTTTTGAGCTTCAGCACAGTCTTCAACTGCAGTAGCTATGGTATCCAGTGCCCCACTAAGTTGATGTTCAGAGTTCGACCATAGGGTAAAAATAGGATGGAATTCATGGAGTTCATTAACGTACTCTACAGTGAAGTAATATACTTTGTTATTATTGATGTCCTTTATGTTAATCAGCTTTAAGAGAATATTCACTAAACAAAATTGTAAACATAAGTGGTTAATGGTTCTTCATGTTTCAATAATGCTTATCACTGCAGGTGCTTATCTTTAACCCAATAATTCAGCAAATTGATAGAGTAGTAACTGAAATTAATAAGTATAGATTGTAAATGATTCTTTGAGCTTCAATAATGCTTATCACTCTTATCTGCTTATCACTTATCTTTACCAATAATTTGACAAAACAACTGATTTTCACTGCTCAAACACAACTTCAAAATATTGTGTAGAATGTTATGAAATGAATCTTTTGTGAAACTGAAATACTTAAAACACACAGTGCATCACTGTTATATCATGGGCTAAAAAAAGATTATATTTATTACAAACAAGCTCAATAGCTGTCATATGATGGGAAATAATGATTAATTTTCTTTTCAAATTATATCTAAATAAACATTATATGAACATATTTTCTAAAAATTAAGTATAATCTAGTAACAATATATGTATGGAGAATGACCATCCCATTTGTAGTATTTCATGAAAACAACATTTTTTATATGTACATTTATTCATCTCCTTTAAATATTCCTTTATTAGCATTTTGACTTCTGTATATTTTTAAGTTATGTTTAAATGTTCTTCTTGATAAATCCTTATAGATTGAAGCATGCAAAAAAGTGATTCACAAATACATATTCCTACTTACTGTCTTCCTGTTTTTGCCTTTGTTAGCCTGCTGAGCTGAAAAAGCATGCTTTCATTTGGGAATTTTCAAAATTTAGAAGTGCTGCAGCTAAAACATGAAAGGTATTACAGAGTTTCAGCCTAGGGTTCCAACTGGACAAAATTTGGTGGTGATGTGTCAATTTGTATCCTTCGAAACCAAGCAAATGTAATAGGGAATTTCAACCAATGGTTATAATTTTTGTATGCCAGCAATACCAAGCATGGGGCACTCATATACCCAATTTGATTTTATTACTCATCACAATCTCTACCAACCTACTCTTAAATGTAATTATATACTCAAAGTAGCACATCATCCTTTTTATATATATATATATATGGGTGGAAAAATATTTAAAAGACAAAGTTGCAGCAGAAAGCGACATAGTTTTGTGCAAGTTGTGTGTCAATCGGTACTGCAACGGCCGAGATATCACTGTAACAGATGGAGGGCTTTTAGTCTTTATATTGAGATAAAGCTATCTATAAAATTAAATATGATGGTAAAAAGAAAGTATATATATATATATTTGTTAGATATACACAACTATTCATTTTAAGTTCCATACAAGAGTATTATTTAGCTTATATTGTGTGAGCATCAAAGCAAGTTATTTTTAGAAGTGATAGTTATGGCAAGTTTGCTCACGCAACTGTTTATGAATCATTTGTTGCGTAGTTCCATTGTTGTGAATTGACATCATGTTACTCAAACCTTTTGAATCTTTCTCATTGCTTTAAGTGAGTATTGTTACATCATAATATCTTGTAGTTTGTAGAAAGTTCTAGGCCTCAGTCAAGCAATATATATATAGACACACACACATATATATAAGCAACCAAGTTAGTACAAGAAGTTAGTGAAAGTAAAAGTGAAACAGTGAAGTTAGACTGCATGCAAATTTGCCGTAATGGGTGATTTCTAAAGTGAGTTTCACAGCTTTTATTTAAATAAGGGAGATAGAAGAGATTAATTTGTCTTGTCAAAAAGTGTTCTAAAGTAATTGAACCTGCCTGTGTGGACTTTGATGAAACGGAGATAATTATTTAAAGCTCTGGACACAACTGTAGTAAACAGCAGTTACAGTGATGATTGTAAAGTGAGTATCACAGCCTTGTATTGTAAAAACAGAGTAGAGGAGTGTAATTTGTCATCAAAGGGTGTTCAAAAGTAATTGAACCCATCCAGGTAGACTTTGATGAAAAAAAAAAGAATTATTTAAAGCTCTGGATACAACTGTGATAATTAATGGTGTAACAAATTTTTGTACATACGTTTGACTTGTTTTGAATATATTATTTTAAAACAACTGGATTGTGTGTTGTCTGTTTATTGTTGAAATTTATCACCAACAAGTCACAGACACCTATTGTAATGAATCCTGCCCACACATAAATAAAAACCTTAAAATATTTAAATTTAATTTCCTTTTTCTAAAATTCAAACCAGTCAGCCTTGCATACCAAACAGGTGTGATTTATATACCTCACATTATAATTTTTTTTACTATGGTAAAATCTTGTTTTCTCTACTTAAGAGTTAAGTATTTTATTAAATATTTTTTTTAACGAGAAATGGAAGTTAGCAACATAATTACTGTCAGCACATACGAGATATCCACTAAAGTAACTTGTAAAAGCAAATTATGCAGGAAGGTATTTTTTGGCCATTTTATCCATAAGTACAAACATTTAGTTTATTGCCTTAACTCAATTTTACTTACTTTTCTTTTATTTTTTATCTAATGTTTAAAAGTTAACATTTTCCTTCATTGAGAATGTATTTTCAATGGATACTCACCTCTACACACAGAAAACTATTTTCCTCTTGAGATTGTGCTATCTGCCTGAGAGACTTGCATGTCACCAGCCTTGTGAAAACCCCTCCCACCTGAAATTTACGTGAATGACGAGATATTGTGCTCCTGCATAATAACGTTAATGCAACACACCTCCTTGCACAAAAGCTCCCTCTACTTTCAAGTGCAAATTACTTCATTCTTTGATGAAGCCACATAGAAAGGTGTACCAGGAAAGTGGGAAGGATGAGTTGGAACATGTATGGAGGTGATTATCTATCAAACACATTTTCAATGGAGGAAATGTTAACTTCTGATACAATCACTCACCCTTATATACAGAAAGATAGAAAGCCCATGTTGAAATGGTGGAAGGAATGGTACGAAATTTACCTAGATGAGCTCCCTTCAGCAAGTGGCTGAAGGAAGCCCATGGGGAGTGACACTGTATAATAGATGCCTCATAGGGGCACATCCGAGGAAGTCTGCATTTCATCCAGGGTATACTTTTTGCCTGTGAGCAGGGCTAGAAGGAACAAAAGGCCTGTAAGGTGTCACAAGGACAAGTAAAATAAGCATGTGACCATCCGAGTACTCATACACAACACACCGATGGCCGATAAGTGTAGTGAGGTTTGGGCTCGTTCAGACTGTACTGAGGGTGCACATCTCCTCAACCATCAGTCTCTATGGGTCAAAAACAGCTGTGGGAGAAGGAGCAGTTGTGGTAAGTTCCACGTACAGTTCTACTGTCAGATACTATGAGCCCCTCACCAGTCATGGAAGGAGGGCACCATATACATATATTTTTTTAGTGGATACAAGTAATATGGATACTTATATAAACACAACTCAACCATCAGAAACTATGAGCCCCTTGCTTCCTGTAGGAGTATGGTATGTGAATCGATACATCACTGTTGGACATGAAATAATATCATCTACTCTGGCATCAGGCCATCGCAGGATAGAAAGTATCACAAAGACAGACAAATATATAAGCATGAAAGAGCGATATGTGTACAAATTCCACTTGGAGATTGTGATGTATCTATATGCAATACACTCCAGAAACACCCCTGTCCCACTTCACACCATAGACAGACCCCCTCATTTTAGCCCCCAGCATCTAAGAACCAAACAGTGAGGATTTTTCATTGTCCACCACCCTAACAACTGGGAGCTGGTAAGTGGTAAGGGTCGACCGTGCTCCACTTGCATAGTGGAGACCCAGAGAATGTGCCCAGATCCACACTGGACACCTGCCAGAAAGGTTTTTTTTTACTGGAGACAGTGCAATGGGTGACTGCAAAATTATTTTTTGAAAAACCAGCAAGCATAAGCCAGAGAAGTGGGTAGTTGCACAACTCTGGTGCTGTATTTACCATGATAGTCCAAGAAATGGGTACAGTCTGGATTAAGTTATTGAAAATATTATTGTATTACCACAAGTAGAACTCCACTGGTCTCATGGAACACCCCCATCTTACAAATGATTGGGCAAGGGCAGATGGTCCGAGTGCTTTCCATTATCCTGGCCAGATGCAGATTTCAGGTAAGTTTACCTTAGGAAGTAACACTAACCACCTAGTGGGATCCAAAAACAAAGAAAGGTGAGGAGGGAATATGTAAACAATGACAATCACCCATGAAAGGGTTAGAGTCGATTGAAGAATGGCAATCAGTGGAAGTCTGTATCCTTCTGGAGATGAAACAGTCAGACGGTGAAGGTAGTGGGCAATGAAAGTGTGTGAGGTAGTCCATGTGTCAGCCCGGAGAATCTCTTCCAGTGGATGATGATAGTGAGCAGCCAGAGAATGAGTCAGGTACCAAATGTGTTGAGAGGAGACTCAAAATAGTCTATGATTATCTATCCCCAAAGAAAAATAAACAATCTGTATGAGTTGGCAGATCTATCTGGTAAGGGTTGAGGGAGAGAGGTCTCAAGTGGAGGAGGGGTCCCAAGGAATAAATAGACAGAGATAGGAATTTTTGATGAAAGAAGTACAGGAGAGATAACAACAAACAGCCCATACAGGGCACAGAAGTCTGTCCAGATCTGAACAATGATAGAGGGAAGGTAGATAGGAGAAAATGTAGGACCACCTTGCCTAGCAGCCAAAGTTTTAGGCAGAAAGGAACAATTTGAATAGAGAAAAATGTAGAAGTGGCGGAAAAGAGTATGGGAGGAATCAATGGTATAAACAGTGGAATGATGATGACCATATGCAAGAAGGAGAAGGAAAGAAGTTTTGAGAGAGAGAGAGAGATGATAGAGAGAGCAAATGGCAAGAGGTTCAAAAGGGGCCAAAGTGAGGGTGTGAAGAACAACATTGAAGTCCTATTCTGGTAATGGAGTGGGAATAAAAGTTCTGTGCAGGAGGAAGGAGTGTAAGAAAATAGCAAGGACAGGGGAGGGAAAAAAACCTTGTAGAAAAAGGAGAGGTGAAAGGTAGTAGAAAAGGAAGCTCAATACCACACAATAACAGAAATAGACAAGCCGCAATCAAATACCTAAGTGAAGAAAGAGGTGAGGTAACCTAAAGTAGGATAGTAAGGGGTGGGTGGGAAATTTCAGAGCAGAGACCAACAGTGATAAACTCACCATTTCCATTAGTAAACCACAGTGGTTGAAAAATGCTGCATAACTGGAAAGTCTGACTCTGAGGGCAATGAACTGGATAAATCCCAAATGAAGATGGAGAGATGCCACTTTGTGATAAAAAAAAGAGGTGTGTAAGGCTGAAAAAGAAGGAATGGAATGTCAGGAAGAGTAAGAGGGAGGTTTGGTCAAGAGAAGATATAGAAGAGGAAATCAAGGTTGGGCAGGCCAGAAATGAGCAACTGACAGAACATGGCACTTGGTGTTCCAAATTAGAGCTAGTAACTGGTCAAGGAGGCAAAGTGGGTGGCTTCATGAAGAAGGGAAGTTTGATCTGAGGATTCTTTCTAGGAATGGGCAAGAAGAAGAGGTGAGAATAATAACCCAGAGAAGGGTTTAGAACTCACTCTAAAGCTTGTTTTTCCAAGAGGTTTGAAACTACCCTTTCCAGACAATGAAGGTATGCTGGGTCTGAGGAGTGAAGAAAAGACAGGGGTTCAGAGATAAGAGGAGGTGGGGAAAAAAGTGAAGGGAGAGACCATGGGTGAGAATTTGAATGCCCCATCTGTCTACAGCAAAAAAAAGAGTCCACAAGTGAGCAAATCAGGACAGACAGGCTCTTATGTGGCCCGAACCAACCTGGTGGTCACTGACAGTTAGACACAACAGGTGGAAGGAGAATGGGAGAAAGTAGAAGGTCAGGATACCTGAAGAGAATGGGGAAAAGGATATCAGAAACATGTAAAGAGGAGTAAGAGTGGAACAAATGTGAGACTAAAAAAAGAACAGCATCAGCTCATGATTCCAAGGAGGATGCTCAAACCATCCTTTTCTCTTCCCTTGCACATTTGTCTTTCTCTTTTCACTTGGTTCCTTTGTTGTTGGGACCTCTTGGGTACAGATTCCCTACTCTCCCATGTCCATCTCCCCACCTTTTTCCTCCATGATCTCTGTCAGGAGGTTTTTTGGTGGGGTCCCTGATGCTGTAAACTCATCAGAAGAACAGTGGAGAGAGAAGAGGTAATGAAGGACAGTAATAAGGAAGACATGAAGACTGGGAAAATTGGGCACTGAATAGGGAAACAGCTGACAAAGATTCTGCTCCTCAAACCAGCAAAAGAGACTAAGGACTGCAAGCTGAGGAAAGGGAGAGTAATTGTAAACAAATAGGTAGAAATCAGGTAGGCAAAGAGGAAATGGGGTAATACCGCAGGAACAAAGTTGTTCGAAAAAGGAGGTGGCATGAATGGAAATATCCGGAGAGGGAGGAAAAAAACATGAGGGGAAGGTTGTATAAGAGCATATGGGAAACATCATAAGTAATGGGGGAAAGGGAAAGATTGGTACATATCTGGGTGATATGGTCTCAAAACCTGAAGACGACTGACTTGTTTTTCAGAAGGTATAGAGGTACAAAAGGCAAGGCCAGGTGATGGGAAAAGTCACCCAATTTCATCATTCGCAACTTTTGCCTCAAAATCCTGGGAAGGAAAATGTGTGGCAGGTGTGGAACTTCTTGGATCCAAGCAGCAATATGGACCCGATCACACACTGGATGATGGCTGTCACATTATCAACAGACAAAACACTTCCGAAATTGTTTTGAAATTAGTCATTGTGAGAGTTATTGTCACTCACATTAGGTGAAGAAGAGTTCACATTGAATTGTGAATTCATACTGTAGAAAAAATTAAAGACACAAAGCTATACAAGTGAAAAAGTTTAACAAACCTCAGCAATGAAAAACACGTCTGAACATGACCATGCTAAGAAAAAGAATGATGTAATTCAAACTCAGATGTAGAGGAAGCTTGTGTGCAAGGAGGTGTGTTACACTCCTAATGGTTGATGGTTTTGCTGTACGATATGTCATCATGCAGTAGTGCAATTTTATGTCATTCATGTGAATTTTAGGTGGGAGTTTTCACAAGGATGGTGGCATGCAAATCTCTCAGGCAGAGTGCGATCTCAAAAGAAAAATAATTTTTTTGTATGGAGGTGAGTGATCGTATTGGAACTAATAACTTACTTGCTTGCAAATATAACAGGATTTATGTTTTAGCAAAAATATAACTTATAAATGTTGGAAAGGTTTTGAAGATTTGGATATTTAACAACCTTATGAAGTGAAACAAGAATGTTATGTTTAGCTATAACGATTTCATTCATCATACCATATTTTAATCAACTAAAAATATCAATATACCATAATCATACTTTTTTTTGGTTGTATTAATAACAGCATTTTATTGTACATGTACAACCACTGGAATCACCATAGGTGAACAAAGCTGATTTAGTGTTAACCCTAGTTTATAAAACAACCATTCTCTAACATAAATATTACAGCAAAGATAAACAATATGTATTTTATTTATAAATATAGAAAAGTTCTTAATTTCAGTTTTGGGTTCCATGATGTTGGTTAAGCTTTTATTGTACAAAAAGTTATTGTCATTCACAACTTACCCAACTGTTCTCTTTGTATTCTCTGACCAATTCTCTCTAAATTCCCTAGTTTTTCACTTAATTTTTGTGTATATTCATTCAGTGATTCAAATTCTTCACATCGGCTTTTCATCAAGTATGTTGTGGCCAAGTTGTGGAAGGTCCCACTCACTCTACCCATCAGACCAACATTTTGCTTCTTCTGAGCAGCAAATTCCTGATTACATTACATGTTCATTAGATTAAGTGAGATTACACTAAAAACCTAAGTCCATGAAAAATAAAAAGATTTATCTCAAGGAAAGTAGTCTGTGAAATGAAAGCAAAACACTATTTGTGGACAGAAAGGAATTGTCTGAAAATGACATTGAGGGAACACGAGTACTTTTTGTGAGTCTGAAGTAGGCTTCTGAAATGTCATTAGCATTACATATTTCCACAGTTACTATCCATACTAATGATAGGTGATAATAATAATTATAACTGTTGCTTGATATTAATGTCATTTCATTATCACATCTAACGTAATAATTCAAAACGTTAGCAATGGTGGGAATGGATGTTGGTACAACTTTTAGAATTTGTAATTTTACATATGCAAAAGCATTTAAAAGTTGTATTAAGGAAAAATCTAAGAAGATAGTGCATTTAGTTTATATTTAAGTCATTTTGCACTTTGGTTGTAAACAATTGTGATTGTGGGTGACAAACAACTAACATTAATAAAAGATTCAATGCATTATCAGTATTTGTATTATTTCTAAAGAAAATGGAAACTTTTGCTTATTAAATTATACCGTAAAGAAGAAATAAAGACATAAGGATGGCAAATCCATTGTTTGTGCTTACACACAAGACTTAAGATATTACTGCACAAAAATGCTGCTGAACTAAGGATGTGATGATACAAATTTGTTTCAGATCAATGAATCATTACTTATGTTTAAAGTTCCACTTAACAGTCTAACAATAACATCTTTTAATGGCTTAGCAAAACCCCACTGTAAGCATCCTTTTGAATTTAAATATATTTGCGGGTCTAAAAGAAAAGAAAATTCAAAGAATCAACACACTCAAATTTTGCTGTAATGTGCAAATTTAAATAGGTTTTTCAAATTATTCCAAGTCACCCCTGTAAATATAACTTTCATCTATATTTTTTTTTTTATCAAGTTTTAACTATACTTATTTTATATTTGTGACAACTTTTAACTTAATGACAAGCTTTAAAAGTAAATTTATTGCTTATCATTGTTTATTATTACAGTAAAATACTGATTTTACATGTAAGTATTCTAAAACATCAATTGTGCAATATTTCTTAGCTAAACTGTGAATGCAGCAATTCATTCAGTTTTATTTAAATTTTTACTAAATCTCTTTCCAGTACTGAGCTGAGGACATTTAGTACACACAGTAAACCAAGTGGTGGGCATGTTAATGAATAACATCATTGTTTTGGTTCATAAATTTAAAAAATAAAAAGATTACAACAGTTATTAGTTAAGGTTAGAAAATGATTCAGTTTAATATTGGCTAAAAAATGTGAGATTATGAGCATTTTTTGACATTTTTATACTGTATTCAAAGGTAGGAGTAAATAATTTTATATTCAAAAATTAATGATTATTGTAAGTGCCAATATAATGCCAAATGCTAATCAATATACAATGTTCTTCAAGAAAGCATGTTTCTTTTTCACCATCACCAAGCAAATCAAAAACTTAAACTCAAAAATGTAATTTGAAAGGCACAAACAATTCTTTCTATTTTCATAGACAGAACAGATTTATTAAACTAATCTTAATTATGATCGACAGAATTAGACAATTTTCATTTCCTTTTCTGCATATTCCATTATAAAGCTAGAGATATACTTATCAACAAGTCTGAGAGATGTAAACTAATGTGGAACAAGTCAGTTTAGAAACTTCACTATGAGAACTGCTGCTGCTACTGTTCATGTATGGACTAAAAAAATGTATGGGTCTCCATATTTGATATAATAACATCTATCAAAAGTATAAGTTGAACCAATTGCTATGGCTACTGATAAGCTATAAACCTTTTTGAAAATAATCTTTGTATGTTAATTATTAATTGTTAAAAAAAATTTTTGTCTTCTAAATTTTCTAGAAATCAAATTATTTCACTTGAAAAGGTTCTTGTGTAACATACATGTAAATAATATACTAACCCAAACTTTAAATGTCAAGAAAACTTTCAGATTTTCACTGTGGGATAACAAAGAATGATCTGCTACACGATTTAGAAATTTGTTCAAGCCCACCATCCGAGTTTTAAGGAATTCACTGTTAAATCTTTGAAAACGCTGCATACTGTGTTTTTCTGGCAGCGGCTAAAACATAAAAACAAAACAAAATTTTTATGACAAATTAACAATAAAATTTCAATCAGCATATAATGGCATAACAAATTTAATTAGTAGTAAACACATTTATTTTAGTCTCTTAAAAATAATTTATAAACATTCACAGTGATATGAATTGAAGTTTTTAAATTTTAACAAACCATATATCAAAATGTGTTTCTTCTTTAAATGTTGCAGTATGATATCCAATTTATCACAAATTTCATGAACATAAGTTATTCTTGTTAGAGATATCAAATATTTAAATAAATATGAGTTACTTCTAACTGAAGCTTAAGTGGATATACAATTGCATGAAACTCCTTCAAAATAAAAATCAATGACAAACATCTATAATTTAACTTAATGACTTTTGCTTTCAATTTTTCATGAAGACAAATAAATGTTCTCACATTTGCAAATAGCTGCTTGGTCAAAAAAAAGTTTTTAATAGAAATAAATTGGCTTGACTGATTACTCAAGCAATTTTCTTTTTATAGGCCACAATGGATTTGAATTTTTTTGGGGGGACAGTACTACACTTATTTAGCCTTCTACTTACTAACAGCATTCTCACATTTTTCTATCCAGGTATTTTTGAAAAATCTATGCAACTTAAAGTTCAGTTGCAACTTGAACACTCAAATGAAAAGGATGTACTCAGATTTGTAATTATGTACTTAGGCAAAACAAAAAATCAAGAATTAATTGATCAAGATTTAAGTGTTAACAGTCAGCTCATACATACAGGAATGATGGAGCTTGGATATTCTTCTTCTAACTTTTCCCTGAGCCAAATGAAGTCATTATAACGCCTTCTTACACTGTACTCGCAGTCATCAAAGTCACTACGTGTTGTCTGTATAATAAGTATGTAATCTTCAAACAATTATCAATAGATAACAAATTAACACCTTTTGTCAAGTTTCTGCAAAAAAAAAGCAATTATTGTAGCAAGAAAATAAAACTTCACTCTTTTAACTATTTCATTGGAAGGAAAACTATATTAAGTAACAGGCATTTATTTTTCTATAATTATCGTGGTTCATACTGAATTGCTCAGATCCATTTCAAGGACTTTCTAAGCACTTTTTGGAAGCTAAAATTTACATCAAAATCAATCATATTTCACTGAAATTTTATAAAATTCCTATTTATTTGTTCAACATATGAATGTAGACTAAAAAGAAAAGAATGACTATTTATTGTGTTCAACTCTGCAATATACCTTAAAGTTAAATATATCGATATATTCTGCTATTATAATATTTTCAAGTACTTTTGCAAAAAATGTCCCTGAATTATATTATTAGTTAAATGGTTTACTTTCCACTTCCTGAATAACCTACTGACTTGTTTAAATATGTAAAAAACTACTGATTAATTTTGGTACTCACTTTATAATTTTTGGCCTAACCTAAATTTCATGCGGTACGGCCAAAAATTTCAATAATGATAACAGCGAACAATATATAAAGAAATAAATTTTATTCTCTATGAATATTACAGAGGGTCAATCACACTCTGTAAAACAATTTATGGGTGACATGATTAGTACCTAGTGTATGTGGTTCTTAGGGAAGTCCCAACCTTTTGATAGTGTAATCCTGCTACAGGTAGATTAATTCACACAATGTAATTATTAAATGATGTAGAACCTATGGATACAACATTTCATAGAAGGGAATATCCAATATTCTTTGTAGGAGAGGGAAAACTTGCACAGCAGAGCATTTAGTATAGCACTGGGTTCCCAAACTACAATTCAATTTAGAGCAATGCCCTCACACTAAAGGCTAAAATTTTAGAAAAGGACATAACAAGTAGAGTAAGATAGACTCATGGTACTATTAACTCATTAAAAACTATCCCCCCTTCGATATTTCATTTGCCTCTCCAAGTTCTTACCTTGGTTGTTATTCTAAAAGTAACATAGCTATCTAAAGTAGTGGAATGTTTCTCAGGATTATCAACTCGAGTAGAGTAAGATAGACTCATGGTACTATTAACTCATTAAAAACTATCCCCCCTTTGATACTTCATTTGCCTCTCCAAGTTCTTACCTTGGTTGTTATTCTAAAAGTAACATAGCTATCTAAAGTAGTGGAATGTTTCTCAGGATTATCAACTCGAGTAGAGTAAGATAGACTCATGGTACTATTAACTCATTAAAAACTATCCCCCGTCGATACTTCATTTGCCTCTCCAAGTTCTTACCTTGGTTGTTATTCTAAAAGTAACATAGCTATCTAAAGTACTGGAATGTTTCTCAGGATTATCAACTCGAACAATCAGATCACGTGTGCACAAGCCAAATTCATCATCACCAAGAGACAATGAGCCCATGAGTGAGGAGTCAGGGGTTATAACACTTCCTTCAGATGGACTTACATCTTGAAACTGCAAGAAATAAGAATTAAAGGGTTTCTTAAATTTCATTGAATAACTTAAATGCTTAATAACTTAAATTCTTAAAAAATTTAACTTTCTCTTTTACAAAAACGAAATATGCACCAAGTTCTTTTTAATTGCTATCCAAACAATTAAACATAGAATACTGTATATGCATATAACAATTTATACAACTGTAGGTATATAGACACAAAAAAAGAAATAAAACAAACTTAATGCTAAGCAATACAAGTGTATCTCTAAATTATACGAGAACTACGAACAGAAAAAAAACAACAACAACAAAAAACATTTCATACTTCTAAGATTTAAGACATTTCTGTCCAGGTATCATATCTGTAAACAAGGTTTGAAATTAATTATCAGAAAGTGCTGGCCAATTTTGAGTGAATAACAGCACGTAGTTTTCACAAGAATTTATGTGTCTAAAGTGGCTAACTTCTGTTTGCTTCCCTTGTTGGGTTTAAAAATTTAATGATATAAGTTGCCTTTAGTAATTACAAGAATCTTGATCTCAGAAATTGAATTATTTATATGAACGAGGTTGTGTTATTTTACAAAGTGTTACTCATACGTATTGGTGATTCTAGATTTCATTATGAACAAGGTTGTGTTATTTTACAAAGTGTTACTCATATGTATTGGTGGTTCTAGATTTCATTATGACACAAACATGTTCTATGACACACAATGTAAAAGATAACATATTCGCCCAACTTAAATTTGGAAGCAACTACTGGATTCTGTTTTTCTTGTAACCATTTTGAATATGTATTCTGTACATTTCATATTATTATGGTGCTTAGAAGGGCTAAGAGAGAGAGAGCTTATGACCACTACAAAATTTAGGAGCTATATTTGTATATTTTCCCTCATTTCCAAGTTATTCCTGAATAGTTATTTGCTGTATCAAACTTGTTTACTTTCATATCTTCCTTATGTATTCTTCATTAGTATCAGTTCTTGAATACAGTGTACAATGATGGAAAAGGTCATTAGTTACTTTTAGATATTGTAGAAATGCATCTCTTTGAGCCATTCATAAATGAGAAAACACCAAAAACACACAACAGAACAGTACAATGCTTTGTACTGTCAGTTATCGTTTGTGTTTTAGTAAAATGCTCCTGAAAAATCTGTAAAGTAAAATGTTGAAAGTTCAATTAAAGAAAAAAATAGCAAATTTGGTGTTATAAGGTCATTTATTGCTCTTATTAAAGTTGATTACATTGTTAGAAGTAAAGTAAGACTGTGTGGTGCCTTAGCTAAGTTCCCAATTTCTTATTATTAATTGAAACTGTAATACAATTGTATTCATTTTCAAGTTCCTGATTTCATTCTGATTATTAATGTCAAGCTTTTGTATGTTTCGATCTTGATTTACATACATTATTTAATTTTTAAACTTTAAAATTATTATTATTACCACACATTTCTTTTTCCTATTCATTTCCATTTCAGCAAATGGTGTTCTTCCTCAGCATAGTTTTGTAATTCTTTGGTTAAGAGATTAGACAGGATATACTATGAAGCAGTAAGGTAAGCAAAGGAAATTTAACAAGAGTGATAACAAATTTATCTATATTTTAACTTGTTAATCTGTATCAAGAGAGCATAATGTCACCTCCATGAAAATTATGTTTCTTCCATGTATTAAGAAATCTAAATACTCTACTTGTGTACAAAAAAGTTGTAGTTGATTTTGATTACTATGATATTTACAAAATAGTATAAAAATAGATATTAAGAAGTGTTTATATTTCCTACCTTAAAGTTTATTTACTTGTATTTCTACTCCTGAAATTATCCCCATATTTAAGATGACCCAACTACGTAAGAAAAATATATAACCAATTCAAAAATTAACCTGTTTGCTCATGAAGATATCAACAAGTTTTTATTAATAGAATAATATAAATTGATATGAGTACACTGTTTTAATTCAAATGATGATATCATATACAATCAACCTACCTCAGATGAATTCCTTTCGTTCCCAGAATTCAAACTTAAAGGGTCAATGAATCTTTTTGAATCTCTGCTAAAAGTAGAACTTGAAAGCCTGTCAGCTTCTTGCTGGGAATATTCTCCACTTTCTCTATCATTTTCTGATGACTTTTCCATAGTTAAAATAAACTTGAAGTCTTCTTTATCATGACCTATCAAACAAAATAATAATGCATTACCAATTATATAAGGGGAAAAAACATCAAAAAACTTATAGATTATCAACTTCATAATATTCATACTGCACTCACTAAGAAACCATAAAAAACAATATTTTTCATATATTTAACAAAATACACACAATACAAAATTTATAGTTATAAGTTAAATATTACCTCATATTAAGATATCTCAAATGTGCTAAAAATAAATAAAAATTACAATTTCTTCAAGCCTCCATACAAGTGTCATAAATAAAAATACATATCAGTATATTATATTCCTTCACGCACATTGTGTATTTCACTTGCATATACTACAATCATTATGCATACATAATGATTATATGTAACACAATAATTAGAGATGTACAACCCAATCATCACTCAAAAGCCTTAGCTACTTCCGTGACATTAACTGATTTAATAAAAATTTCAGTTAGTCAATTATTTTATATGACATTAACTTGTGTAACTGATGTTTGTCAAGCTTACTCCCCAGCTGTAGTCTTCAACATAACACCTCAACTCTACTAAGTATATTGGAGTATAATAAATTGAATATTATGCTTATTAGCCATTTATGGTAATGCCACAATGGTATACTTAGAATCAGACATCTCACCTCTATCACCTTGAACTTAACCTGTAGGTCTAAAAGCCTATTTAAAAATAAATGGGTGATACTTTTGAATTCCATTATATATATTGGAATTCAAAAGTTTCACCCATTTATATATATATATATATATATATATACATATA